CCCCCCCCCCTCATATTGCACCGACGCAGCTTCGTCTATGGTCTCATTTATCTCCAGTTCGAGTCTGTGCCCATCGTCTTCGTGCAAGGACACGGCTTCAACAGTCTGGTCAACGGCCTGATGTTCATTCCCCTCTTCCTGGGCGGAGTGGCAGGCTGCCTATTCTACGTTTTCTTCACGAATCCCAAATACACCAAGCTGGTGGACGAGTATGCAGCCAAGGGTCAGAGGGTGCCGCCCGAGAAGCGCCTGGACATTGTGTGCATCGCCGCACCTTGTCTAGTGGTCAGCTTCTTCTGGTTGGGTTGGACCAGCTACCCGTCCATCTCTTTCTGGGCGCCCATGATGAGTCTCTCATTGCTGGGTTTCGCAGTCCTGTTGATCTTCTTGGGCCTCTTCAACTACATCATCGACTCGTACCTGGCGAAGGCCGCCTCTGCCCTTGCCAGCAACACCGTCATGCGTTCAGCCTTTGGCGCTGGATTCCCCCTCTTTGCGGCACAGATGTACGCCCGATTGGGCACGCAGTGGGCTAGCAGTCTGCTCGGCTTCCTTGCCCTCCTCATGCTGCCCATCCCCTTTGTGCTGGTCAAGTATGGCCCTTCAATCAGGAAGCTGTCCAAGCATTCTGCAGAGTAGGCTGGGCGCTACATCCCTCAGCAACTCTGTCCATCGCTCAGTACCGCATCACCGCTCGAACATTCGGTACTGCTGCCTCGCACGCATCGAACACTAATAAACCAATACCCTGCCCCCTTCGCCGCTTGACTCACACCTTGCACACTGGCACCGCGCTTCACGACGCACCAGTCCTGTGCCGCCTCTTTTTCTCTCCATCCCTTTATTCTCTCATGCATTCAAAATGTACTCGACCCTCCTCTTGCTTTCGGAACAGGCTCTCCATACTCACGAAACCCCCGCAATGATCATAACGTCATCAGGCACGCTCTGCTGCAGGACTCGACTGGCGGCGTGTAGCAGCTGTCATGTTTCTGCGCAAAGAGTCTTCTGAACGTCCGCGATGGCGTCGAAGCAGCTGGAGCTTGGTGTTGCAAGTGACGAGGCAGAGGCCAGGCCAGGCCAGGCCAGGCAGGCGTGTATGAAGAGTGGAAGACCGCGGCGCTCGGCACACATCACGGCAC